GTACAGTAGGACCTTGTTGTTTATCTATTTTATATATAGTAGTATCTGCCAATTCCAAACTCCCAATTTATCCCTTTCCATCCCCTTCCCCTCCCAGTAACCATAAGTTTGTTTTCTATGTCTGTGAATCTGTCTCTGTTTTGTACATAACAGTGTCCTTTTTTTTTTTCTAGATTCCACATATAAATGATATCATATGGTATTTTTCTTTCTCTTTCTTACTTCACTTAGTATGATGATCTCTAGGTCCATCCATGTTGCTGAAAATGGCATTATTTTATTTTTTTGTGGCTAATTAGTATTCCATTTTGTGTGTGTGTGCGTGTGTGTATACACCACAACTTCTTTATCCAGTTGTCCGTTGATGGACATTTAAGTTGCTTCCATGTCTTGGCTACAGTTACTATAAATTTAATTATTCAGTCATCAAGTATTTGGGAGCTTTCTATGTGTGAAGCATTATACTATGCACCGGTCAAACAACTTCTGGAATGGGCTGTAACTCAGTAAAGAGTCAAACCTGATATGACTGAGCAGGAACCACAAGCCTTGGTGGATGAGGCTTCTTATTTTCCTCTCATAAAGAATAAATTGTGGAGCCTAAACCTTTGTGTTTCCTCCTTCATTCTGAGATCAGGAAAGACAGGAGAGAAGGCACGTGACATACTCAGAAGCTGCACTCACCACAATCAACAGAATATTGTAAATAAGAACCAAACAATAAACTTTAATTGGAATGTTACAGTGGAATATAATAATTCTTTTGAAGTACAAAAATAATTAAAAATTTTTCCATTTGCCAGTAGTATCTGCTACAGATTATACAGTGTACACTGATGCTATGAACCATGCACCCTGCACTACATTCCTAGGCTTGGACCTTCCCCTCTCTGTGCAGCACTACCCTGAAATCCTGAGACCCTGCTAAGATGTTTCAGAAGGAGCTGTCCTTAACAGAATTGGATGGTATCTCTCTTTAACTAGTCCTTATGGTTTGGTTTTTTTTTTGGCTCAATTCTATAGATTAAAAACTTTTCAAAAGGTTAATCTAAAATTCTGAGAATTGCTCTTTTGGGAATATCTGGGTTTTTTCCTCAAAAGATAGGAAAATGGCAGGAAGAAGCTAGAGTGTTAAGTTCAACAAAAGCTCATTTAAAAGTAAATCACCATCAATGGAAAAGCTTTCCAAGTATAGGAAATTTGAAAATAATAGCAATTGACTGGAAGACAAAATTCATTGCCAAGTACCTCTGAAAAGTTCTATGTGTCTTTATCTACTATGATGTTTCCTAATATTTTAAGTGAAGCAAGTTAGAATCACCAGGATTCTAAAGATTACAGCAGGTTCTGTCATGATCTCACCCACCTGGTACCTTAGATGCTGAGAACCAATTATTGAAAAAATAGAAACAACATAATGAGGATACACAAGCTTTGGCATGTTAAAAATGATACAACTGTGTTCTCTAAAATTCAGTTATTCAGGCCAGTTTATTTTGATTTGTGCTCTGAATTGATTAGATCTGAGTCTAAATAAACGACTGGAAAACTGGCCATCTTCTTGAGCAGAGCCAAGAGAACCTCTTGCAACTGTCTGAAGGCAAAGGCTCTCTGCGGTCACTGACCCTCTCCCCTCAGCTGCTCGGACCCTGCCATGTTCCCGCCTCCATTCTGTACAACTTCTTCATCCACAGTGGATGTTGGGGGTATAGGTGGAAAAACTGACATGGTGCTTATAGGAATTCTTGTCTTTGGTGTTCAAGGAATTATGACTTTCGGTTCTCATGCTAGATAGGAATGGCTCTGCACTCACTACACCTGTAATACTGGAACCTTACTAATAGAAAAAAAATGGTATAATGGAGAAACAAAGGTAATGTGGTACATAAAAAACACGTAGGTCTATTTTCTGAAAATAGGTTGTAAGCCTAAAAATTCTTTTTTATAATAGGTTTACGCTGTGAGAGCTCAGAAAACACTGGGCTGGAATACAACTTAGGACAAAGAGTCCAGCCATTAGGAGATCCCTCAAAGGGCTCTACACGATCCATGTATTATCACTATTATATGTATTATTACCATTACATTAATAAATAATCTTTGTAGCCCTACTTTCAAAATTGATGTTTATTCAGCAAGATACATGAAGGAAAAAACCTAACCTGCTATGTTACCTAAAATATAATGGAGAAGTGACTGATGAGATTTTCATACTTCGTTTCCTGAATACCTTTAAATGTCCCACACACATTTTTTTCATTGTACTCACCTTTTTAAAAAACTGCAGTACTCATGTTACTCCACTGTAATGTCATCAAGAATTCAACCACTGCAACAGTCACCCTGTCGGCCTCTTATCCATTAATGACTGACCAGTTTGATAAAGGATACTGCTGCCATTCTTAGAATGATATAAGTATTTATAACCTCTCCTCGACCAAGATTCAAAGATACAATACAAAACCTTTTATGGAACTCCCCAGTAAACAGAATAACGTACATAGATGGCTAAAATTAAGATAGAATAATGGTGACCCTTGAGCATCAAAGGCATTGTTATTGCAGCTTGGAGAAAATGCCATGGAATGCTAATATATATTTTAAAAATTATGCCATTCTCTTTAAAGTCAGGAAAGTACGTAAGAGTATTTTTGGAAGAAAGGCACCAGACAAGTCCAAAGTCTTATTGCTCGTCGGATCTTTCAGGAGCCACAGCACAGACCAAGCACTGCGCTCGGCCAGGCCAAGAGGCTAGGCCTAAGCAAGCCGCGACCTTCAGGCTCAAAGAGCGAGGAAGGAAATGTGACTCAAACAGCCCCGCACCTTACGCTGCCGTGAGGAAAGTGACTCCAAGTTTCTGCCAAAGTGCTGACTGGTTGGTTCCTCAGGACTCGGGAGCCGCGTCAGACAGGCACTCTGTTCTCTTTGGCCCATTTCTTCATGATCCGGATGATGTACTCTACCTGCGTGTTACCCGTGCTCCTCAGTAAGTGGAGCACTTCTCGTAGGGTCTCTCTGTGGAAAGCATTGGGCAGGACGCAGGGTTTCAATAAAGAATGCAAACTGACAAGTGAAAGAAACAGGTCACTAGGTCCTTCCCATCCTTCTTGTGGGGCATTTTTGCCTCTCTCTCACTGTGCACTCATAAAGCAATTACAGACTTCCTAGTCTTTATCTTACGTTGTCACCTATTCCTAGGGTGACAGAGTAAAATGGAAATTCTATGAAGTCCTCACCAACCCAAGCTTCCCTTGTTTACTTATATATATGATATATATCATATATATAATATCTTTTTGTCCTACTGTAACGTCAGTATTTCCATTTCTACGCTTATTCTGCACGACAGAGTAGAAAGTGTATATTAAGGAGCTAGGGTCAAAGAGTTGGGTTCAAATTCTAGCTCCACACTAACAAGTCACTTCTGTTTGAGTCTCAGATTTCTCCTTTGGTTAAGGTGATAATTACGTTACGCTGGGTGTCACTGCCATATCTGTAAAATTTTACAAAGCCAGGGGTAGGTGATTTATTCAAGAAAAATAATATATTAATAAATATGGAAGAGAGGAAAGTTAAGGACCAAGATTTGGCAAATACCCAGTATTTATATTTTAAATAATTAAAATGAAAACTCATGTTTTAAGGAATGCATCCTAAAACTTCCCTACTACCTTATTAAGTCTATAGGTGACTGCCTAGTGACCCTCTTCCCTCAGGGTTCTCTCATATTTTCTATTTTTTTCCCTCAAGCATCTTCTTTCACCTACCCAAATTCTTTAAACTTTTATTTAGGACTGGAAGTAGATATAAGCAGGAAGTAATTTTTGATAGATTGTTTACTTATAAAATAGTCACATCATACTATTCACATACCAGTACAAATACATTCCATGAAATTATTTTTAGAAAACTGAATTTAATTTTAAGTATTTTAACTTTTACTACAAATGGAGCTATAAGCCACTTAATTTTATGTAGTCTAATGTCTCATTATTTCCTGGAACATAAGAAGGCAAAAGAAAAAAAAATTATTAACTACACCTACTCCATTCCTAATTTTTTGAGGTCTAAACTAAGAGACACAAGAGAAAAGCCAATAGGCAAAGAAAAGAGTGGAAGAGATTGAAAAGACATTGTTTATGAAAATGGAAAGTCATTTGAAGCCAAATATGTATTACTTTTATATTTGAGAGCTGTAGTATACTTAATGTCCCCAATACACATAGTTTAGAATGATGTGATTCTATAAAATAACATTCTGGAAGAAAAAGATCAGATAGAAATAGAAAACTTAAACTTTCATTCATCATTCTAAAACATCATTATAATTTGTAGTTTTCAGAAGATATCATCCAAAAAAACCACTTCCCATCCCTCAGGAACTAGCAAATGCACAAGGTAGTGTCTCCTGTCTGTCTACTTACTTGGGTTCTCTCCCGGCCAAGATCATCTGGAATATGCCTACGCAGGCACCTCTCTTGCCTTCCCAATATTCAGGGTTGGGATCCAGCCTCTCTAAGACATCAAATGCCTTGGCGGAATAGTAAAACTGGCCCATCTGAATAAAAGAAAATATTGTGGTATATTTGCAGTCAAGGGATTGCAAACAATGAAACTAAATGTAAAGACACCATGAAACAGAACCACATCATGAAACAAGTAAATGGATAATGACATTTTCAGTTAGCAAATTAGATACATTTCAATACCTTATTAAAGCAAGAAGAAACCAATGTTATGTTTATGGGTTCAATTTAAATCCCCTTACCTTCATTAATTTTCAAAAATATAACATTTTTTCCTATGTATAGTCTAACTATGCTGTAATCAATGCATTTTTCATTTCTTCTATTTATATTTTAATCTTGAGGATAAACTCTGATGACTGTGATTTGAACTGGCTATCTTTCAAATTTCTTCAATACATTTTGTAGATGACTACTATCATTCATTTTAGGCTAATTTGATCATGTTCAACCCCAAGAGGATGGTCTTTCCCTTGTCCCAAAAGTCTCAGAATGCCTAGATGTATACTGACTCCTACTCTAAACAGGAAATCTTTTAAACATTTTGTTCATTTTGATAAACACCTTTCCCAAATATACAACACATTTCCCTGGGCTTGTAGAGTATGCTGAATATCATTAAACTTTGCTTAGATGAGTTTTCTTGATAGACAATCATAAATCTATAGTGTTACCAATTTTATTGAAGTCTTAAATCTTTTTATTTTGAAAAAATTATAAATTTACAGGAAGTTACAAAGACAGTACAGAGAGATCCAATGTACCTTTTAACCAACTTCCCCCATTACAGCTTACACAACCACAGTACAATATCACAATATCAAAACCAGGAAACCGACATCACTACGTGTGTATACAGTTCTGTCATTTAATCAAACATGTAGATTCATGTAACCACCACCGCTGTCAAGATCTGGAACTAATCCATCACCACAGAGCTGTACTACCCTTTACGGTCACATGTGCTCTCCTCTCAGCTTACCATCCCTAACCTCCGGCAATCACTAATTTGTTCTACATCTCTGTAATTCTGTCATTTCAAGAATGTTATGTATGTGAAATCAAGCAGTATGGGACCCTTTGAGATTGGCTTTTTTTCACTCAGCATAATGTTCTTGTTATTCTTTGTTAATCCAACTTATTGCATGTATCAATAGTTTATTCTTACTATGTGACTCTGAAAAGGCAGGAGATACCTCCACCCAAAGTTTGGTTTGGATGTCAAGAAGGATGATGCCACACAAGTACCAAGAGGACATGAAAAGTTTTCTTACTTACACAATTGAGGTCTCTGGGGGAGCAGGGCAGGCCTCTCAAACAGGCCCAAAACGGCCTGGGAGAGCGAGGTAAGGAGACTGGCCTGGGCTGTCCTGTGGTTAGGGCACAGGGCTGGGGTGAGGCTTCCTGAGAACAGGCAGGGCTTTTGTCGTTTGGTCACCCAATGGTGCCAGAGAAGGAAGTACCCAGGCCTTCTTATCGTTGTGTCCAGATATGCGGCACAAGGGGAAGAGGGAGGGTGAAGCTTAAAAGCTGTCAGCAGTCAAATGTCAAGAATGGAGTCAGGCTCATGATCACAGTTCCCTTTTCCTACTGAGTAGCATCCCACGCTAAACCGCAGTTTAACTATCCACCTACTGAAGGACTGTTCCCAGCTTTTGGATATTACAAATAAAGCTGCTATTGACATTTGTGAATAGGTTATTTGTGTGGATATAGATTTTCATTTCTCTGGGATAAATGCCCAGGAGTGTGACTGCTGGGTCATATGGTAAGTGTATGTTTGTTTGTTAAAGAAACTGCATAACTATTTCATGGTCTATCTTTTGCCATCCTTTTACTTTCAACCTACCTATATCATTAGATTTAAGTGAGTTTCTTATAGAGAGCATATAGTTGGGTGATCTTTTTTATCCATTCTGTCGATATCTGTCTTTTAATTGGTATATTTAGACCACTTACATTTAATGCAATTATTGATATGTCAGAACTTAGTTCTGCCATTTCTATTCTATTTGTCCCTTCTGTTTTTCCTGGACAAGGATGTCCTGTACACATCTCTGCTGTTTGCAGCTGGAGAAAATTGTGACTGTGCAATCTGCATAGAGGGAAGATAAGAAAGCCTGTGCTTGACTTTGCTAGTCTTCACCTGTATGTATCTTTTCCCTGCTTCTTCTGTATTGTAATAAATCTTAGCTGTGAGTATAAGTTTATGTTGAGTCATATGAGTCCTTCCAGGGAATCACTGAACTACTGGGTGGTCATGGGACCACCGAAACACTAGGTAATGTCAAGTTGTTTTTCAAGCCTGTTACCTTCCTTGGATCTTAAGCCCACCCTCCTTTCACCTCCTCTAGGGCCTCACTCCATCAAAAATGCTCCCACTCTCTTGAATATTTAATGTCTCTGTTCAATGGCTCCTTATCCTCTGCCTAAACATATACTCTTACTCACTATTTTAAAAGAAAAAGAACTCTCTCTCAACTTGTAAAAATAAATCCCCCCCCAAAATTCCTAACCCTGTTTTCCCTTTTAAGTTAGCACCCCATTTTCCTCCTTATCCTCAGCATCAGTTTTTTAAAAGACTGTAGTCCACGTTATTCTCACTGAATCTGCTTCCTAATCGGATTCTCTTTTCTACCTAGCAGTGTTTTCTCCTGCATCATGCAATTTCATCTAGCTGCAGATCTGACATTCTCCTTCCTTGGCAGTTGGTAAAATAGGAAAAAGAAAAAAAGTGATGAAAAGCACTTTTTTTCCTCTCTCCTGGCTCTTTTATTTCCTTTCTGTTGATCTTCATCCTTTGTCTCTTTCACTGACTCTTCTTTCTATTTTTATCCCTTAAACACTGGTGTTCCACGTGGTTCCTCCCCATTCACTGGTTAATGTCCTTGTCTCCTATACTCTGCTGCCACCACTGCTGCTGCTCTTACCACCGCCACTGCCACCGCCACCATGAACTACTGTTAACTTCTAAAGCTATATCTCTAATCCAGACCTCTCACATGAACACCGGAGCTCCAGGTTCACTTGATAATTTCCCACATGTAACATCTTTACCTGGGAGCCCCAAACACACTTCAGACTTAATACATCTAAAATTGAACGGAATTCCTGTCTTTAGTGTTTTCTTTCCCTCTGCCTTCCCTAACCCACTTAATGTCATTGCCATCTACCAAGTCCTATTAAACATTTTCAAGTTTCTTATGTTTGAAAACCTTTTCTATTGATGGTGATTCACTTTATGTTTGTAATGATTCACTTTGAAATGAGCTATTATTGATTAATTTGATACTAGACTCTCTTTACCTTATGTTTCCTGTCTTTTGGACAGGAAGAAATACTCAAAAAATTGGAGTTTACAGAATTTGAGGCTTATTTTTTAAAAAGCTTTTAATCTATAGGTTAGGGCCCTGAACTCCTCCCTCCTCCCTGCCTTTCCAACTACACACACACACACACACACACACACACACACACAGAGCTAGTCCTTTACTACCTCTGACTGCTTTCTTATTCTCTTTTTCTGGCTCCTTTGTCTTTCTTGTCTACCACTCGCACCGTGGTTTTCCCGAAGGTTTGGTCTGCAACTCTCTATTCTTCTCATTTTACTTCCTACCTGGGTAGTCTCACCGTTTATCAGAGCTTCAATGACTATGGAAATGGTGATGATTTCTCCAAATTGGTTTCAATGCCAGAGAATATCTTTCTTGAGTTTCAGAATCAAACTTCCAACTACCAGATGAATATCTCTACTTGCATGGTACCTAAAGATTCACAGCCTTTAGAAATCTAAAACCTCCTCTCTAAATCACTATTTCATATATATTACTTCATATTTCATTTATACATATAAAACCCTGAGATCCTGTCTGCCTCTGAGTTCAGTTCATTCATAAAAGGGATGACATTTCTGATATCACTATGCGATTCCCCTCACCTATGGCCGTTTAATCTGTATGACAGGTTCCCTCATGTCTAGTCAGTGCAGCAATGTGATACTGATCTTCAGTCTCCCCTTAGGTCTCACTCAGACTCACCTTGTAGCAGTCATTAGCAATCAGCTGTAAGAGGCTAAAGGACTCGCCAGAGGTTTCCATCTTGAGATAAAGTTCCCAGGCTAGTCTTGGTTTCTTATTCATAATGTCTACAAAGAGAAGCAAAGATTTATACTTCTTAAACGTACAAAAAATACACTGCTGCATCTTGCTATTCTATGGATTTTGTTCTATGTTACAAATACACGAAGTAATGGTAAACAGCTCTTAAATGGAAAGCTTGCAATTTTGGTATTGATAAAGCTGGTTTCCCATTAGAACTCTATTATACTTAAAATACTTAAGTTGGGATTCGCATTATTATATCTTTTTAGGTTGGGTTGATTTCTAGTAGTTCCCACTTTGCTGATCTGCTTAAAACTCACCTATCACTCGTTCAATCCCACTCATATAGTTTCAGCCTCATTTAGAATATCTAATTGTTGAAATTTTCCCATGATGTCAAAATCTCAGAGAACATTTTAAATCCAAGTGGAAAAAAAGGAGCAAGAAAAGATAGTGGAGAGAGACAGAGAGAGAGAATAGGTTATATAATAAACAAAAATTATGTTTTTGACATTTTACCACTTTTCAGGCCTGCACCACAGTGAAAAAGTAAAAGTAGCAGAACAGTATCATTTAACAAAACAAAACAAAAAAATGGAGACTCTGTAAGTTTTAACGGGACTAAGGAAGAACTTGGCATCATTTAGGCCTGTTCATGCTAGGTCAATGTCATATGCTAGAACTAAACTAATAAAATATGTGCGTGGCACCTGGACTGAGTAGCACTAACAACACTTAATTTCAGTGGTTATGCATTCTTCAAAACAAAATTAGAAGACACTTAATGTAATCTCCATCCATAAGATTATGCAACAGAGAAGAGAAAGAGGATTTCTCTGTAACATTTAAAAGAAGACTCACAGCACCGAGCTAGCCAACTGAGGTAAATGTAGTCATTTTTCATCTTCTCACTTTGGATTAAAAGGAAAATCTGCAGGAGGAAAAAGGGTGAAAAGATAAACATGAAGATGCTTCTGCAGTAAAAATATCCATATCATGCCTTACGTTAATGATTAACAAGCACTGTCAATGACCAAATTCTATATAGGCTGCTAAGAAAAGTGAAGGACAAATTGTGGTGACTTTAACACACTTCTCTCAGTTACTGATATCACAAAGTGACATTAGGCTGGCAAGGATATAGGAGATTTGAATAGAATAATCAACGACTGCACATGCTACTGGGCAATAAAGGAAATCTCAACAGATCTTAAAGGGTCGGTGTTATACAGACTACACTCTGACCACAATAACAATTCAGTTAGAAATCAAAATAAAATAACCTGGAAAGGATAACACACATACTAGAAAATCATGAGACATGTTTTAGAATAACTCACAGCCAAAGATGATGAAAAGATCATTTCTAAACGTAACAGAAATTGGAAAATAATTAGAATTTGAATAAGTTGAATAATCTGTTGAGTAATAAAATTGAATCAAATAATTCAGTTGAATTATTCTGGATCATTCAGATCATCATCTTAGAGTTAGAAGTCAAGACAGTGGTTAGCCTTGGGGGAAAGGAACTGACTCAAAACGGATATGAGAGGGTTTCTAGGGTTATGATAATAGCCCAAGGAGGGAAGACATAGCTCTAGTGGTAGAGCGCACGCTTAGCACACACCAGGCCCTGGGTTCAATCCCCAGTACCTCCATAATTAATAAATAAAATAAATAAACCTAATTACCTCCTTCCAAACAACAAAGAACTGATCTGCCTTTAAAATAATAATAACAATAATAATATTCTATTTCATGCTATTTGGTATGTTTGGGAATATTCACTTTAAAAATTCATCAAGCTGTGTACTTTGATTTGTATACTTTTCTCCATGTATGTTACTTTTTTATTAACTTTTTTTATTGAGTTACAGTCATTTTACAATGTTGTGTCAAATTCCAGTGTAAAGCACAATTTTTAAGTTATACATGAACATACATATATTCATTGTCACCTTTTTTTTTTTGGCTGTGAGCTACTTTTTATACAATTTCTCCAAAAAAGAGAAACATTAATGTGGTTATAAAATCTGTATGTCTATTTATACTGTAGTTTTTAATGTAACCTAAGAACAAAGGAACTTTTAATACTCCTTTACCCTTAAATGTTTAATTTCAGTAAGAAAAACATAATAACGTTTTTAGACAGAATCATTCAAATGCCTTCAAAAGCAGGTACCCACCTCTTCACCCTCACTGGTATTGCCAGTTGCAGCTTTGGCTTGGGCATAATTAAAGTTAAAGATGTCATCATTATAGAAGTAACTCTGAAAAACATCCCAAGAACAGATCACATCGTGGGGTATAGCTGAGGGGTAGAGCATTTGACTGCAGATCACATTGAACATTAACAAATAAAATATAAAAACATCAGTTTTACCAGATAAACACAAAAATAATCTTAAGCAATTAGCTGATGCCACTACTAACACCATAGTAAAAGGGTCATCTCTAAAAGAATCTTATCTCTGGCATATTATGTGTACAAAGTCACCCAGGAAATTCTATACTGACCTTAAATGAGTTGAGGTAAATTAAAACATCATCAAACTGCTTAAGCAGGAAGAAACATGAAGCCATGCACTGCCTCCCTGGTATTGTATCTGAAATGGAATGAGAAAAGAAACCAGGTGTATTCATGAAACTGAAAGTTCTTTTTAGCTGAGATTTGAGTTATTTTATAATTTAGAGATACGAATGTATTTCAAGATATCTTTCTAGACTCTGAAATGATAGACTCTGTTCAGTGGACAAAACTTCAGCATGATGGAGGCCACAGTACTTGAGACTAATAATCTCCCTTGCAGTTAACTCAGAATCCAAAATGAACACATGTCCTGCAGGCTACAGCATTCCCCGGATCTTCTCCAGGGCTTTGATTCTCTCACCCAACACCTGCACACTCGGCTAATGTGGCTTAGTCTCCATCATTACTCGTCTAAGACAACCTACACTTCCAGTCTCAAATGGAGGAATTATTTGCTGCAGAACCATCTGTTCTTGATCCTGACCAACTTTTTGTCTGATAACAGATTGCTCTTTGAGGTAGCAGAGGATTAGTATAAAATCCCACCATGGCCACTCTCACTTCCAATCCTCCTTACTCTGTTCAATTTTTCCCCCCATAACACTTATCACAGTTAGATATACTATATAATCTATTTATTATGTTTATAGTCTGTCCCACTAGACTGTACATGGCAAAAGGGTAGGGGGATTGGTTAGTTTTGTTTCCTGTTGTATCCCCAACACCTTAATAAATTTTTATTATATTAATACATTGAAATGGGGAAAGAAGATATTTTTCAATAAATGGTTTTGGTGAAATATTTGAAAGAAAATGAATATCCAGAGGTGATTAAAGTATTTAATAGCCAGTTCAGCATGAACACTGTTCATCACAATAGATGGTGGCCATTGGTAACTGGTACAGACAGCTATATTGGTTCATACTGGCTAACTAGGAGCCCTGTCCCAAATCTTACGCTGAATCTTGACTGATGAGATCAATACTTTAATAATAAAAATGAACCCATAAAACTACTGGTGGAAAACATAGGTGAATATTACAATAACTCAAGGGTAAGAAAGCATTTTCTAAGGTTGATACCAATGTAAGAAATCATTATAGAAGAGATAAACTTAAGATTTAAATATTTTTATGTGGGAAAAAAATACCATACACAAAGTTAAAAGCAAATGACCCACTGGAAAAAATATCTACAACACAACAAAAGTTTTATACCTTAAGAGCTCTTGAAAAATCAATAAAAGTTACCATTTCAAAGCAAAAACAGAATCAAATTTTTAAAACTCTTATGAACCAAAGAATGTATTTATTCTCCTCTATTTTTATATCTTCTTATCCCATTTTAGCTGAAATGCTAAGAAGGGCTAATCCAATACTCTCTCCTATGTCTGAGTTCCTACTTCATAATGGGAAGCCTAACAGATGTACCCCTGGACAGAGAATGAACTTCACCAGTCATTATATGACCAAGCCCAATTATGAATCATGCTCCTAAGTACAGATTTCAGACATACCACATTCACTAGCTGATCCTCCCACCAACTGGAAGAATTGCTGGGCAATTTTCATATGATCCCTCTGAAAAACAAAGCAGAGCTGATACAGAGGAAAATATACAAAAGCTGAAAATATATAATTTGTAAAAGCAGAAAATATATAATTTGAATTATACCTATGGTTTTAACATATTTGGTAGGATTTAACATATACCCTTGTTTTAAATCCTCCTCAAAATAATAGTACTAATTTGTGTTAGCATAAGCAACCAGAAAATGATCATCTGCAATTGAATTAAACCTACTCAGAGTCAGATAGAAAAGAGAAAAAAAAATCCAATCTCCAATGCTGGTCCTAAAATTACCTTCATTAAATGAACTCACTCATTCATTCATTCATTTAAGAAATAGAGCAAAATATTTATTGCTCTTTTATCATATATCTGACATTGTGGTAGGAACTATGGCTATAACAAAAAGTATTTATTAACTGAAATAATTGATTTATTCAATAGCTCTTTATTACCTATCTCCTAGATGAGGCACTTTGGAGTGAGCTGGAGGTAAAAAGATTTATTTGTATCCCACTTTGTTCCAAAAAGAACTTACTATGCCATATTCAGACGAATAAGAGCTTAATTTTAGTCAGTGTTTTAGTATTTATAAAAAGCTTTCCCTGAGAAACAATTATTCCCATTTTACAGATGCCAAAATTATAGCTCAGGGGTATGCAAGGTTAAAAAAAGAGTCAGTGAAAAAAGGGTGGGGGATATGGAGAAATAAAAGGAAGAGCCTATTTGAAGGCATACTGCTGGCTGAACTTCGACACTCATTTTGATCTTTTCCATACACGGTAACTTTGCAAACTATAGATTACTAGTGGTTTTAGACTCACCGAACCCATTTCCTGGCCAAGGGCTGCATTGACCACTCCTTTGAGGATATACTCCTGGAAATGTGGAATATCACTAGTTAATTTAAAAGAAATGTGAAGCTATGAGATATTGTCCAAATTCATTCTTTGCGTCAACTCAATGCTTTATATATATTATCAAAAGTTCTCCCAAATCACTTTTCTCTGTTCTATCCCTGGTTTGAATAAAAGAATCAGGAGACTTTCATTTGGTTTCCAGGAAAGTGTCCACATGACAGAATTCAACATATCTGTAAATTCTCAATCGTAAGCAGAAAAACTCAGTGGAAACTCTCAGTAGTTAAATCTTGCTTTTATTTCAATTCAGTGGTAAAAATTAACAATAAAATGTTTATGCAATAATTTTTATACCTTATCAGCCACTACCATTCTCTGTGACCATGTCATATATATCATTTTCCCTTTCCAATGATATAATAACCTTCCTTTGCCAGTGATCCTTTTCTTCAAAAAAAGAGAAAATATCCTCTGATTTCCATTTGCAAGGTATTCTCTCTTTTGGAGTCCTGCTGCCTCCCTGTATGCCCTTTGGACTTGATTCTGTACTTTTAAGATACCCTCCTTGGCAGGTTTATCAATTTTTACATGGGTGCTATTTTTATTTAAGAAGGCTCGTAAAAATAACAGTACCAAAGATGCTGAAGCTTTTAATTCGCTTGAGAAATATGCCTGTTTAGATTTCATGAGGTCTGGAAATATTTTTCAGTCATTCTTTCACTCAGTGAGTGTAATGCCCGTTATGTACACACTAGCATGCACAGCACTGGAGATACAATACAGACACAGTCCCTGACTGCAAGGAGCCAACAACCCAGCAGGGGACAAAGATACGGTACAGACAATTAATTATACTAGCGAGGTGAGTTTCTATACCTAGTTTTATCAGAATTCTAGATTTCAGTATTTTCAAACCTCAACCCTTTTGAGGAAATGACCACATACGTGGGAATTTAAAAGTATCAAAAAGCCCAGAATATTCATTCTCCTATCAGAAGTCTCAAATAACATCCCTAGATCAATAATATGACCTTTCCTGAGACTCCACAAGTAGGAACCTTCTCTAATATGCCTTCCAGCTATCTTTCTGAAATTCCACCTTGAGCAGAACTTGGTTAGTAAAAATATAACACATTCTCAATTACCTGAGGAGTAGTGGGTTCCAGATCCTTAATTAAGTTATAAGCTTCTTGTACATCATCTGAAACACAAGAAATAAGTAGCTACACTAGTCTGTATTCTAGCAAACTCTTTTGAAACAGTCCCCAAAAGATAAGATCCTTCAGACATTCATGGGAAGTATGATTTGTTTTTTTCATCCCCTAACTCTCTATCAAGTTCAATGTTGAGAATTTACCCTAAAGATAACCAGATATCCTCAGGGAACCCATACGAAGCCATGAAGCCTCTAAAAGTTCAAGCTGAATACACGGAGGGGGTAGTATGTCAAGGGCATTGTAAATATATAAGAAAAACAACTAATTTTAAATATATATATAAATATAGTATTTAAGAATGAAGTAACATGAAGTCTGGGATTTGCTTTAAAATATTTCAGCAACAAAAAAGGGGAAGGTAGAATAAATGAAAAGCGACTGGCAATCTCTTGAAGAGTATTGAATCTGGGATGAACATCTGGGTGTTCATTTTGGGTGTTTGTGCTATTTACTTTTGTTTATGTTTGAAAATTTTTATAATAAAAATTAATTTATAATATATATAAGGTGTTTCTTTAGATCTTGTCCAAAAGCATATTTCTCTGTGCTTATATATCAAATAGAGAGAACTATTTGCAAGTTCATGTTCTTATTTTAATAAACACTTACATTTTCCTCGAAGAGGAATATGTTGTCTGGTTGGTTTCTATCATGCACCTAAGAAGGCCCACACTGTTAGTCCAAGGTCTGTGACAGAGTGCCAGCACCGATGCATGGCAGCTCCTACCCTGTACTCATAACTGTTAGATAAAAGACTGCTTTAGGTATGTGTCTAACAATTTTATCCCTACTTAGGGGCAACAAATACCACATTCTGTTTGAATCATAATATTTCTCACAAGAAGCTGGGGGTACAAAGAAACAGAAAGGCAGACAACTAGAACAAATAAAAAACAGTTAATGATTAAAAAGACTCAAGAAAAAGTAGATGTACCTTGTACAGAGGGGGACACAAGGAAAAGAAGGAACAAGGAGGGAGAAGGGAAAATAACAGAAAAACTGAAATGGAATGAATAGAGAACAAAAGGCAGAAAAATAAGAGGAAAAGAGAAAAACAGAAAGAGGGAGAAGGTTAGAAGCAACAGAAGAGGAAAGCAAGGACAAAGAGAAAAGGCACAACAAATAAATACCAGTGAGTGTGTTCTGTCCTATGAACCTGCTGCAAACACTTTTTGGAAGTATTATGGAATTTAAAAGTTAAGCAAGTAGTTCAGTTAGAAACTAAATGTTCTAAAATATCTCATTATAGGCAAGACCAAGACAAATTTCTGTTACCTTGACGAAGGTAGTAAATCACTAAGTTTAGCCTAGCTTCAGGAATGACATCAACTAGGGGAGGCAAAACCTGCAAAGCCCCTTCACCTCCTCGGAAAACAACCTAAGGACAGAGAAACTCTGTTATTATGGCGATAAGTGTGAGTATATTTACTGGTGGAAATATTCAACGAGCTGTCACTTACAACAGTTATTATTCTTTGAAAGGATGAATATATTACTGAAAGAAGATCATGTGTATATAGAGAGAGCTTCAAAAATATATTTATCTAAACTATAAGAAATAGAATAAAGGCATAACCCTGTTGCATACATTTCCTTTTCTCTTCAAAAGAACTGCAGATGGGAACTTTAGTCAATATCTTGTAGTAACTTATGGTAAAAAGAATATGAAAACGAATATATGTATGTTCATGTATGACTGAAGTATTATGCTGTAGACCAAAAATTGACACAACATTGTAAACTGAGTATACTTCAATTTAAAAATATATAGTTAAAAATATATATATATACATATATAAAGAAAGACAGAAAATTCTTAAAGTACCCAAGAATTAAATGAAACTTCTCTAGACAGATATTCTACGTTAAAAACTCCACGAAGGAATTTATAAACACTTACTCCATCTAGATCTTGTTTCTGAATTAATCATTCTATTTCATTAGTCCTGGTCCTACTAGGACAAAGGGTTTAAACCTGCACAAAGGTTTCTGCGCTTTTGAAGTCGTCCACTTGGTGCCACTGTTCCCTCTGGATAGCACCCTATTTTTCTCCTTTCTTTCAATGCCACACTTCATAAGTATGTGGCTCACTGTTTCAACGTTCTTCTCATCCTCTCACTACTTAACCTCCCAGGAAACCGGCTTCCGCTTTCTGCACACTAGTAAATTTACTCTACAAGTCACAAATTAACCTCTTTAACGAAATTCAATGGACTTCTCTGTTCTCTTGCTCTGTGACGTACCTGCAGTTTGACACTGATGGCCACAGCATGACAACAGCACTATTTAGTGAATGTTTGCTATATGCTGGATGCTGTTTCCAAGCACCTTATACACATTACCTCATTTCATCTTCACAAGGATTAAGGGAGGTACTGTGATTTCCCTTATTCTACATCTGAGAACATGGAGACTCACCAATGTTTAGTAACTTGCCCAAGTTACAAAGCAAGTATATCATGTAGCTTGCTTTTGACCTCAGGTCTGACTGTAAAAGTTGATGCTAATAACAAAAATTTACATTGCTTAATATTTTTCAGGTTTTGTTTAAACTATAAAAGTAATCTGTATTCATTGGAAAAAAAACTTACATATAGTATTATAAAAGGAAAAAGGAAAATTTCCATATTCTCACTTTTCTCTTTAATCCCACCCTCCAGGGATAATTCCTGTCACTAGCTAATATGCATCTTCCAGGCATATGTATATATAAAGGTTCTTTACTCTGGCTGTATATTATAGCCACTTGGGAAACTTTTAAGAAAAGTACTGTTAGCTGAACCATAGTCCAACCATTCAATAAAAATCTCTGCGGGCTGCAGTCCATCCATCATTATTTTTATAAGTCTATTTAAAATGTGTAGTTGTAAATGACATTACATTTGGAAGCAATCTAAGTGGCCATCAACAGATGAACGGATAAAGAAGATGCAGTATATCTATACAATGGAATACTACTCAGCTCTAAAAAAAGAACAAATTTTGCCATTTGCAGGAACATGGATGGACTTGGAGGGCATTATGCTAAGTGAAATAAGTCAGACAGAGAAAGACAAATACTGTATTATATCACTTATATGTGTAATCTAAAAAATACAATAAACTAGTGAATATAACAAAAAAGAAGCAGACTCACAGATACAGAGAACAAACTTGTGGTTACCAGTGGGAAGGCGGAAGAGGGGCAATACAGGGGTGGAGGAATGGGAGGCACAAAGTATTGGGTGTAAGATAGGCTACAAGGATGTACTATACAACACAAAGAATATATAGTTATTATTTTGTAATAACTGTAAACAGAGTATAATTTAAAATTAAACTAAAAATTAAAAAAAATTTTAATGACATTACAGTTGACCCTTGAACAACAGTGGGGGATATTTAGGGGGCTGTCTCTCCACGCAGTCAAAATCTGAGTATGATTTATAGTTTGGTCAGCCACATCTGTGGTTCCTCTGCATCCCAGGATTCAACCAACCTCAGATTGTGCAGTGTTTACTATTGAAAAAAATCCATGTATAAGTGGACTCATGCAGTTCAAATCTGAAGTGTTTAAGGGTCAACTGTACATTATCAGGGTGCTTTTTCTTGCCTGCCCTTTCTTGTGTTATTTGTTAATTTTTCCTCCAGCCCCTTAAAGACAAATGCTCTCTTGAAACCATACTTTTCTGTTTTTAACCCTTTCTTCAGCAATCACTTCTCTTATGAAAACTCCTAAACCCATCTTAATCTCTTTTCAAGTTTAATTTCCAGACTACTCTCTCTAACACATCATTCTCCACAAAAATTAATCTGGCTTTAATTTATAAATCCGATTAGAAGTGAAAAGATTAGAGGCAGAAGCTCATAATAAAAAATAACCACAGAAAACTTTATCTGTGGTAGAGGCCTGAGTTAGAGGAGGAATGGAATAAATATAAGACATTGCCAACAAAGAATGAATAGGATTAAGTGATGGAGTAGATATCAGAGATACAAGGGAGGAGAGAATCTAAAACAGCCATGGTTTTCAGCAGGCATAATAGGAGACTTGGTGCTAAAGAACGATGTAGAGGAATCAGAAGGAAAAGGTGTAGTTATTTTTATTATTGTCAGCTTTAGATGAGGAATCTGAAACTCAGCAATACTAAATAATTTGCTCAATGTCCCCAGGTGTCTCAGTTGAACACAGCCGCTCGGCACCCACTATACTGTGAGATCAATAGAATCAAACTTCAAACTTAATCTGAATCTCTCTCTCTCTCTCTCTCTTTTTTTTTTTGGTTTTGTTTAGTAATGGCCATCATAATCCAGCCCTAAACTTAACCGCCCCTTTACTTTCTCACGAAGTGAAACTTTATTTTTCACTATAGCCCAGTGCAAACTTTGTTCTAGTAAATTCAGTCTGCTCACAACCTTTCACATAAGTCTCCCTCACTCTAACTCTGTCTTTGTCTCAAATGAAGCCTCTAAATCCCAGCTCAAGTTTTGCTTTCACCAGGATGTCCTTCACATTTATTCTAACCCAAAAGAATGTGCTCCTTTGTCTTTGCTGAAATGAACACTTGGATCTACGCTGCCTTACACTTCTTTCTAAACGTTAAGTGTGCATTCCTGCCCTCCGTATAAGGATTTGCTTGAGGGGAGGATCTGATATCTTAAGCTCATTCTCTCTCCTCCACAGCAAGGAGTTCACCTGGAGTTGAGAAAGACTTGTTGAGACATCCCCTACATTCATCTTTCTAACTGCTGTGATGTATCAAAGTAGGGTAGGACTTAAGTCAGTCAAGACAGGAAACTATTATTCACCAGATTATGCCTGATGAGTTCTTTAGCAAATTCAAAGGAAGAAGAAGCGTTGTCCATCAAGCTTTTGAGTTCTGCCTGAAATTAAAAAAGGAAAGGCTTATGAAAATGACAAGTGTATAGTTCTTCCATCACATACAAAACATTACAATGACTTATAGTTCACAAAGAATTTGACATGCTATTTCATTTGTTCTGCAGGACTCTAAAAAATAGTCAGTGTAACTACTACTATCCTCATTTAACAGATGAGAACATTGGGGCTTATAAATATTAAGTGATTGAACCTTATACTAAGCAGCAAGTTGAAACCTGAACCCAAGTCTGAAGACTACGAGAGTTAGTTTTTTTCTTTCAGGGTCAAATGTGCTAAAGGAGCTAAACTTTTAACAACTAAGGTTGATTCTTTGATCTGACCATTCCACCTATTTCCTAAATTTTCATAGCATCGGGTTATCCTGCTCCTTTAACACCCCTTAGAACAAATGGTCAGCCATTACCACAGTGTCTTCACCGACAACCCTAGGCTCACTAAGCCCCTTCCCCAGCTTCCTGCCATTCCCATCTTGCCAACCTATAATTTTGAGTAATCCTCCTCACCTCCTTCTTTGACTTCCATCAGTGGGTGGCTAAGCTTCTCTGGATAAAATAATTAAATTCTTGATTGTTCTCACTAAGCACTACAAACTTGTTCTACCTGATGTCACAAGGGAGTGCATGCCTGTTCAGCAATCTTCTTACTAAACTCTTCTCTTGTTCACAGAAGCAATTCCTACATCCTGGTAACATTAGGCTAGATCAGCAGTTTTCAAGCTTTCTCATCTCAAGATCTCTTTTATAATCTTCAGAAGTATAAGGACCCAAAGAAATTTTGTTTATGTGGGTTATAGCCATCAATAGTTATTGTATTAGAAATTAAAACAGAAATTTTAAGTATTCAATTAATCAAAAGTAATAGTAAACCCATCACACATTAACACAAATAATACATTTTCATTTAAAAAAAACCCTGTGTTTACCAAAACAAAAATTATGTAAGAAGAGTGGTACTGTTTCACATTTTTGTGAATCTCTTTACTGTCTGGCTTAACAGATGACAGCTAGATCAGCGTATCTGTACCTGCAATCGATCTATTTTGAAATCACGTTGTCTCTGGAAAACTTCACTGCACACTTAAGCGAATAAAAGTGAAAAGACAAAACCTTTTAATATTATGAGGATAGCTTTGATCTCAGGTTGGGCCTGCCAGGACTAAGGGTGAGGCAAGTGAGATGCCCAGGGCACAGAATGTAAGCAGCACTCACTACACATGAAAAGATTATCAACATCGTTAGCCACCAGGGAAATATAAATCGATATTATGAGATTCCACTTCATATCCACTGGGATGGCTAGAATACAAAAATCAGAGAATAACAACCATTGACGAGGATGTAAAGAAACTGAAACTCATACATTGCTAGTAGGAATGTAAACTAGTACAGTTACTTCGGAAGACAATCTGGCGGTTCCTCAACTAAATATAGAGTTATTATATGACCCAGCAATTCCACTCCTAAGTATATACCCAAGAGAAATGAAAAAATGTCCAAAAACATGTATACAAATGTATATAGCAGTATTATTCATAAGAAGAAGAAGGTGGAAACAACCCAAATATCCATCAGCTTGACAACTAGAAAAAGAAATGTAGTGTACTCATAAAAATAAATGAAGTTCTAAAACATGCTATAACATGATGAACCTTGTAAACATTATGCCAAGTAAATGAAGCCAGTCATAAAAGATCACATATTATATGCTTCCTTTTATATGAAATACATAAAATAGGCACGTTTATAGAGACAGAAAGTAGATTACAGTTGCTTGGGGCTGGGAGAAGAGGGGAATAAGGGTTGACAGCTTAAGGGCAAGGAGTTTCTTTTTGAGATAACAAATGTTCTAAAATTGACTGTGGTAAAGATCGCACATAGCTGTGAATATGCAAAAAACCATCGAATTACATACTTTAAAAGGATGAACTGTATGGTATGTTAGTTATATCAATAAAGCTGTTAAAACATAAAACTATAAATAGAAGCTGTAGGTCATCTTAACTATGTTAGAGAGAAAATGACCTTTCTAAAAGCATGACAACATGATAGAAACCATGTAGGAAATATTCCTCATCAAACAAATGCTTTTATGTTCAAATTTTCTGTGTCCTATCTTTAAAATATATATTAGGATTTTTGTCTGTTCAATCTAATTTACCTTTGTCTTTTAATTGAGAAATTAAACTTTTTAATTCTAATATAACCACAGATAATTTGGATTTGAAAAAGGCAAAACAATAAGGCTTTTGAAAGATGTCAGAGAATGTGATTTGGGCTAGGAAATCATTTCTTAAAATACAGAAGGCACTAAACATAAAGAAAAAGACAAATTTAACTGTTTTGGCCTACAAAATCTTTGATAATTGCTAATATTTACTGAGAATTCACTGTGTGTATCAAAGACTTTATATACATCACAGAAACCTACAATAATTCAGTATCATTATTATTTCGCGTATTTTGCAGATGATGCTTCAGGAGGTTAAGCAGTTCACCAAAAGCCACATAGCTAGTAAGCTAGCACTGGAATTTGGGTCTACCTGATTTCACAGCTCCTGCTCTTAGTCACTACCTGGAGGCCTTCCCACTTTGAGAGGATAAGGTTTCTTTACCCTCTAAAACCAGTGTTCTCTTTTCCTTTCCCCAGCATCCCACATTCATGACTTCTGTTTCTTCATCATCTACTTGTCAAACCTCCACCATGTCCTTTAGGGCAATTTCCAGTCCAAGTGATTACTCATTCGCTCTGTATCTCCCTGGCATCTAGCTTCAACACCCAATAATAATGATTCCCTAACCAAAGTAGGAAATGCCAGTTATGAAATCCAATGTTTTTTTTCTCAGTCTTCATCTTTATTGACCTCTTTTGAATCTCCTCCTTTAAATGTGTTTCTCCCTTAACTTGTTAGTTATATTTTAAATTCTCATTCAACCATTACTTAGTTGGCATCAACTTCACGTGTGCCTGGTCCTAGGATACAAATGTCAAAAAGACATTCTCAACCCTGAGTGAGCTTATCTAGATTAAAGATAATTAAAGCAGGTAAGTGAGGCCCTGTGACACATAGGATCTGACGCCATCTGGACCCTCAGGGCCCCAGTGCAGTCAGGACCAAGGCTCTATGCTACCCAACAGCCGTGAGTCTCAACAAGGTGACCAAGAATGTGAGCAAGTCCAGGCACAGCCATTGTAGCCAGTGCCTCATCAAGTAATCAAGTGCAGCGGGACGTGATCTGAGAGGCGTGCAGTTTCGCCTCTTATGAGTGACTTACTATGGAGCTGCTCAAGGTCTCCAAGGACAAGCAGGCCCTCAAGTTCATCAAGAAAAGGGTGGGGACACACATCCACGCCAAAAAGGAGATAGAGGAGCTGACCAATGTCCTAGCAGCCATGAGGAAAGCAGCAGCCAAGAAGGACAGAGCCCCTCCCCTCTGTGTAAAATAAAACTTCTTCAGAAAAAAAAAGGATAATTAGACAACTACAAAATAATTAGCATGATTTCATATATATATATATATATAATCGTACATAATAGCTATATTATTACCAACTATCTATTGGTAAGATATAATAACCATATTATTAAAACCATATCATGGTCATATACAAATATCATCATGCTTATTATTCAGTAGCTATAGCATTATGTGTACGTATGAATTAAGAACAAAGAGGAATGTACATCTAAATTTGCAGTCAGTTTTAGTGGTTAAGTCTATGGGCTTTAGAGTCAGGGTCTGAGACCTGAATTTCTCACCTGTTAGTTGTATAACTTTGGGCAAGTTATTCAAAGTACTGTCGGATTAAGTGAATCACTACAGATTATTACTTTCATGCTTACTATAGAAGAGTAGAATGCTTTGGTGTTTGAGGAAAGAATGAACCATATAATATAGAGCTCATCACAAAAGTTACTAGAGGAATGCCTGCTTTTAAATGGTTTAATAAAATCGTAAGTAAACACAAACTATATCCTATTGCTATCCCACCAAAAAGCTTCTCAGGTTACGTCTGACATAGTCATCTACTGCAGGAGAAGATTATAAAATCAATATGTGAACTGCATGGACACAATTTCAAATGAAAAAGCATGCCTTTGGGGGTGGAAAGTGCAGTCTGATGTCCTGACTTGGACAGCGCTAGACCTACAGCATATTGGTTTGCCATGCCACCCATACCAGACTATGGAAAGAACACGTCAGACGAAATGCAAACATTTAATAGGTTGGACCTTATAACTCAATTGGCAAAGTCCTCAAGAATGACTCAAGGTAGAAAGGAAAGAATACATTTCTTTTCTTTGTTCTAACCAAAAGGTGAAGACTCTTAATGAGATCAAATTACAAATCCAGTTTATATTGAACTGCTGATGCTGGGAACTAGCCAATTAGGCAGACTCAAGGGACTCTAGTTGAAATAAGTATTTCCAAGAATGTATTTTATATAACACATAAAGGGACTGCTCCATTGCTTACTAAGAAATTTAACTGACAGGCATTTCTTTATCGACATAAGCCATGAAAAGTGAATCTGGGCATGCGCTCTCCATCCCATCCTCTCCCCTACCAACTGCTAAACACTGTTTCACTCAGCAGCTGAATCTCCTGTTATTGTGAAGCATGGTAACAGTGTTCCCTGCTATTACACAATATATTTTGCTTTGATAAAGTAGCTAATTTTTTGGTTTCAGTTTCTTTCCTTCCTCTGCCTACTCTAGGGTGGTATGATGCCACTTAAACTGCTTTTTGGGCAAGGTGAGATTTTAGAACTTTGACACAAGCAGACATTTTACATTTAAATTTTGGCGGCTTCTAATATCAACTGAAATAATAATCAAGGAAGTAACTTCCAAGCATGGCTCCCTCATAGGGTTAACCTAAAACTATCTGTATATAAACTATATTATAGATACATATACCTGAATCTGTATATAGACAAAGTATAGAACATGCTACCTATATATCTATTTATAGCTCTACTTATATCTATATCTATATGTATGTATATGTGTGTGTATAGTTAATAACGTACGGCCTCCTGTACCCTAAGAGTTTCTTATAAAAAGAGAGCCATAACAGAATTTATCCACAGAATTGTCAGGGAAACTAAATCATGGATACAAAGCACTTAGCACAGTACTTACAAGGTAACAAGTTTCTGAGTATTTATTAATGTCTGCCACTATAGCCTCTCGGGGTAACCTGAAAGGAGACACTGCAGCATGCCAAGCAGAGAAAGATATTCCAGGAAATGAGAATGTTGTGCAAAGCTATGGTAGGAGAAGATGGGTGTATGAACAAACTCATTGGCTGGCCTAGAGAGAAAAAGACTAGAGGCAGAGAAATTATTTACAGAACTAAAATAAGAGATGAGGAATGCCTGAACTAGAGCAGTGGCAAAGGAGAAGAGGGGACAGATAAAAGAGACATCTAGGACACAGGACTGATAGGAACTGGTGGATGATGAGGCGGAAGATGAAAGAGAAGAGAATGATGGACATCCTAGGTTTCTGATTACATGTTGATGACTTTGAGCCACAAACATATTTTAGGGAAAAAAAGTAGAAGTGTTTGGTTTTGACATATTTAAGTTAATGTAAGGCATAGATCATCTACAGTATATTAGACACACATAGAACATTCAGAAGTCAACATTGTTTTCAGAATATCTGTTAAATATAAATATACAATTAGGTTCTTACAGAATCACACTGGCAATAACAAAGGGATATTAATCAAGAGTAACAGACAACAGAGTTTTGTGAATAATCTGTGAAGTGTGCGGTAACTCAAGTTGGAATGAAGTAAGTTAAAAACAAATTTCATCACTACCTCAGCTGCTTTGCCGTTGTAAAGGCGAAAGTGATTACAGGCCTTGAGATTGAGTGCGATGGTACTATCAGGGATTTGCTGAAGATAAACAGCCAGAACTTCTTGAGACACATCATAGTAATCCAACTTGTAGTAGCAAAGGGCCACGTAAACATTGAGGGCAAGGTATTCCCTATTAGATGAAAGAATTAAGGGTTAACAATTTAAGTCTACTTCATAGAAATGTTGTCAAACTACAGTCTTTCTTAATGACTCAAATGAATAGCAAGGCAAAAAGGACATTTCTTCTTTTCAAGAAAGAAGGCAATACAATCAGTGTAGTATTTTTCTTTTTGTATTATAGTATTTGGGTGTTTTGATACAAGCAGGATGAAAGATGACAACTAGAGGAGAAAGGGAAAAGTTTAACTCCTACCTGTTCATGCAAAAAAAAAAAAACTAACATCATCTGTAATTAAGCATAAATGCAAATAAGCAGACACCATACAGAGGACGGACACACAAGGCAAGGAGAGCTGATGACTGAGAATGGGAATGAGTGGGAGACTGAGAGGGTAAAGCACAAGAAGGGACAAGGGAGTCGCTGAGATATTCCGGGGATGCAGGAGAGAGGCCCAGTGGGCAGAGATAAAGTGGAATATTCATTCTTCAGAATGGTTTGTTTCTAATTTTGTCAGCAAGTTACCTACAGTGTAACTACAACATGAAAATGATACGACTAGACCATGCATTTTCAATAGGTGTGATATGACCCCCAAAGGGGCAAACATTGGTTCTTATGGAGAAGTAGAAAATTGTGCTCATTTTATGTATAAAGCATAGATACATGTACAGTACGTAAACAGATATACCGCACATTTATAGTAGTAAAATTCCATGGGAGGGCAATTAGTCAGGAGAAAAGTCTAAGATGGCTTCTTGGAAGGGCGATAATGAAATAAAGGTGGAGAAATCCTGATCTAGATTATAAGGAGTTCTTAATCTCACCAGATTATTAGCTAAACAGATTTGAACACATGGTGACACTAGCTTCAAAGGACACCGGGTCCTCAGCCAAACTAGGTACAGAAGAAGCTAACAAAATGAGATTTCAAGGAGGCATAAAGGACACAGACCTGTTATCTAGAAGTATTCGCTTATAAATATCAATAGCTTCTTGGTAGTGAGATCGCATATAGTGGATTGAAGCCAAACTGAGTTGATCTTCTGTGACATCCTGAAGATTCTGATGAAAGTTCATCAACTTCTTCTCATCTTTAAACTAAAGTTGTAAGAGAGGAAAAAAAATTGTAAGAAAGAAAAAGAAAAAAAGATGCAAAATTGTAAGAGAGAAAAAGTGTGAAGATTCCCATCAGAGAACTCAACACAGAGATGCTAGCTCCTCCTTTTCCTCCAGCCATGTGTCTCTGTGTTCTCCCTCTTCCCCTTCTACTCCCTGTCTGCTTTCTCCCTCCTTCAGAGAAAGAATGAAAATCGCCTTATGAATGAAAATAGCTGAGCCTTAGCAACAGAAAGCCTGCAAGCTACCCCTAATATTAATTACTTGACCCCCATCTTCCTCTTACCTTCTTTTTCTTTTCTCTGTCTTTGTATTTTCTCCCTTTCCTTGTTTTGCATGTCCCTTTATTTTTTTTACATGCTGTTTATAAGAGAGAGATTTAAAATAGAAGGACAGAGAAAGGTAGAAAGTAAAAGGCTATAAAAAGATATAATAGGCAAACACTAACCAAAAGAGAGCTGGCATAACTACACAAATATGACAAACTAGTCTTTACATGAAGAGAGATTTTTAGAGATAAAGAGATATTTCATGAAGCTAAACGTTTTAATTCACTAAATGGACATAACAATTCTAAATGTGTATGCAAATGTGTATGCAAAAACTGAGAGTCTACAAAAACTGAAAGAACTAAACAGAGAGAGAGAATTATAATGTGAAAATTTTAAATGCACCAAAAATAATTATTTTCAAATATTGCTTGTGGATGATTAGATAAACTTTCTGCAAAATAATTTAGAAATATTAATTTAAAGTTTTAAGTTTTTATTGTTCATACTCAAAACTCAAAAGTCTATTTCTAGGATGTCAGAATTACATTTTTATTTTATTTATTTATTTTATTTTAAATTTTTTTATTTTGTAGGTTATAGTCTAGTTTACAATGCTTGTGT